TGGGGAGCCAACGGTGCTGGGCAAGGGTGGAGGTGATGGGGTAACGGAGCTTGGTCCGGGAGAGGATACGAGCTGCAGAGTTCTGGATGATCTGCAGCTTGTAGAGGGAAAGGCTTGGGGAGGCTGACGAGGGAGTTTCTGTAGTTGAGCTTTGAGGTGATGAATGCATGTATGGAAACACGAATGAGTGTAAACCAACAATCACAAACAACAAATTGGACTTGCATAGCACCTTTCATGTCAGGAGGACATCCCAAGGCACTGGACAGTGAAGTGTTTGACCCCCGAGCTGGGGGTCGGAAGGAAGAAGGGTGAAGGGCAAGATGGCTGGGCAGGGAAGATGACCAAAGGCACAGTTGACGAGGAAGATCTTGAGACAGGCCTTGAAGGAGGCAAGGGAGTGGACGAGGTGGGGTGGGGGGCTCTAGAATGGAGTTCCAAAGGGTGTGGGCAAACAGGCTGAAGGCTTGACCATCGATGGTGGAACGGGCAGAGAATAGGTCATGGAGCAGGCCAGTGCCTATAAATAAAAATAAAGAATAAAATTGGTCATTCGCTTCATGGCTGTTTGCGGGACATTGCAGGGTGCAAAATTGGTTGTTGTGTTCACCCATAAAACAGTTACTATATCCTGTATTACAGTACATCCTGTGAAGCGCTTTGGGATGTCCTCCTTATGTGAAAGGTGCTATACCAAATCTAAGGATTATTATTATAGCTTTATATGGGAAGGCTCAGGATAATTCCTCAGAGCAAGAGAGAAATTGTCCAATATTTGATCTTGAACAGTTTCCATTCATTAAGATGGGTTTGGATGAAGATCCTTTGGCCCATCTCCGATTTCATCCCAACTGAACACCCATTCTAACGAACCCCATCATTGGATCAAGCTGCTTTTTAAATAAATTCTCATGTACTTCCCAGTTGCTGAAAACAGTATTGAGCTTTTACCCTTTTGCCATTGAATGCTGTTTGGCATAGGAAGAGGAAGGGCATGCAAGGAAGGCAGAAAATATCTAAACAAATATTCTGCTCAAAATACCTAATGCAGTATAGTAATAAATAATAATGATTACATTTGTTATGGCACCTTTCATCTTGGGAAGATATCCCAAAGCGCTTCACAGGATATACACAGGATAAAGTGCAGTGACTGTGTGTTTTGTGCACAGCAAAGTCCCACAAACAAGCATGAAGTGAAGTATCCTTGTGGTCGATTATATTGCTGACATCCGATAGGCTCATCTGTTCTTCACTTGTATCCTGAGACAGACTCTGTTGTACGGAACATCCTCCTCTCCCTGAGTGAGATTTATTTGAAAACCTCAGTCATGGTGGAATATAGGTGTTTTACATATTGCACTCAAAGGTATTTTATTCATGAAATTTAAGTAATCCAACTTTCTACCAATGAAGTTGATTTAGTCGTTGGCCTTTAATAATAGCCATTCCTTTTCAGGTAAACTTCAAAAGACATTCTTCTACTTTATTGAGAGGAAAATTAATTTCCAGCAGTGCATTACTGAACTCCTGTATAATTGTACACTCTAATTACAAAGNTTTTTTTAAGACTTTTTTTAATGGCACATTTCTTAGAGTGGCAGTAGTGGTATTTGCAATGATGATATGATTTGATATCTAGGGACACCATTTGATTATTTCTGCACACTTTCACTTGGAAAGCCAATTGCCTGAATTCATAGGCTGGTTTTTCAGTAAGTACACAATTTTCAGTAAGTACTCTAAATTATCTTCAAAAACACCAGTGTTTTGTTCTAATTCTCTGTATTGCTCTATTTGTGCTCCACATGTTGACTAACAACCTGCTTATTTTATCGTTCACTTGAAGAACAAATGTTAAGTATTCTCACTTACTACTAAAATGGATTCCACCCATTATACGGGCTAAGAAGTTAGTTGAAGAATGTAATTATGTAATATACCTCGCACCCAACACAACTGAAACCCTTATCCGTGTATTTTTCACCTCCTGCCTTGACTTTTTTTCCAAGGCCCTCCATGCCGGTCTTGAAAGTTCCACCATTCATAAAAATCCAATTAGATTAAAATACTGCCACCAGAATCCTCACCCACACCAAAGTCTGCACCGCCATCACCTCAGTCCTTGCCTGATTCCACCGGCTACGTGTTGCAGAATGGATTGATTTTAAGATCCTTCCACTCGTGTTCGTAGCTTCATTCCCTGGCAGCTCCCTTTCTCTCGAACCTGCACACACCGCACTCCTCATTCGTTCCCCTTCAATCAGCTGGCTCCGGCCTCCTGAATATCCCACAAAATATGTCTTGAAACTCTGCCTCAAACTCTTTGCCTTGCCCTCTCCTTGCCTGACTTCCGATCATAACTGAAGACCTTCCTCTTCGACTGTGCCTTGGTCACCCACTCCCTCCCCCTGCTCCCTGGCTTAGCATCAAGCTCCACCACTGTCAAGTGTTCCGAGATGCTATCCCATGTGTAGGACTCTATATAAATGTAATCTTTTCTAATTGGGAATGTGAGCATTTACTGTTACAAATTCTTGCACTGCATATTTTGAGGTTCAAAACATTTATGATCCTTTAATGATGATGATGATGATAATAATCCTTGCATTTGATATAGTGCTTTTTACGACTTCTAGACATCTCAATGCACTTCACAAAATATACTGTAAAGTAAATTGACTGTATATTTGTGGGCGAAACACGAAAAGAATGATAAGGTTCTAGAAATATTTATGTTGATGCTTGTTGTATCTTAAGCTATTTAATCACACCAACCAGTCCATTGGATGGTTACGTAGTTCCACATATGTTCATCTGAAGCTGAATATCATAAGAAAATTATCATTCACACTTTATGGCTCTAGAATCAGCTATTGATTCAGTAAAATAGATTGATCTGAGGTATTATTTGTACTTGTTGATGTGTGTGCAATACCTTTAAACTCTCTGAATTTAAGAGTCCAGTACTTTTCTTCTCATTTTAATATAACTGTTTACAAAATATTTATGTTCCTCAAAGCCAACAACAATTTTTTTGTTTAAATCCTGCTGGAGGAGGATGTCCCAAGGCCCTGGACAGTCTTTGTGAGCTGGGAGCAGAAGCCAAGGATGGGGTGTGTGGGTCTACAGCAGTGGGGGGCGGGTGCAGGGTGGGCGGGGGGGGGAACTGAAGGCAGGGTCAAAGAGGACGATCTTGAGGCAGACCTTAAAAGAGGTGAAGGATCAACTTAAATGACTTAGCAATAAGTATATTATCATTGAACCCACTTGTTGAGCAAATACTCTTATGCAACAGGAGCCTCAGAATGGAAACATGACGTTGGGGTTTTGTAGTGTTATCTGTTGTTAATATTTCAACTGGTGAACTCTAAATTGAAGGATTATTAAACAGGAAGTGATTCAGTGGAAGTATGTTCTTTTGTTTTTGCTGTGGAGGATGTTCTAGCAGTGACATTGGTGACAGTTTAAGGAGAGCTGAATACTGACACTAACTGCCCCCAAAATAGGTTTTAAACACATTATCCAAACTTATTTGGCATGAGGTTCTGAAATGTAGAAGTATTCCACATGGGAATGATGCACTGAGTACTTTCTTTATTCAAAAACTATAGGTTTATATGATTTATGATAAAATTAAATTTAATGATATATTATGATATATCATTAAATTTGTCTTTATTGATTTGTATCTGACCCAATCTATTGCTTTTTTAATTCATAGTAGTAAATCAAAAGTAGTGTTTTAACAGACGTTCAATACCATTTGGTGCTTTGGAAGCTCTTCTGAATCATGTGACACAGTGCAAAATACCTAACCAACAATTCTTGCGTGCGCTTATCTGGCGGATAGTTTTGTCATGTCTACACTCAGCTGTGCATTGATTTAAGATACACTTTATGGCTGATCCTTCTATAACTTAATAATGTTTGGCTTGAAAAAACTTCTGGTGATTGAATCTTTCATTGCTTTAGTTTGATAAAGTAATCCTGATTTGAGCACAAATTCTTCAAACTATAACGTTGACAGTTGATCTCCTTCAGAAGAATATACCTAAGATTTATGATGCACAAGAACATTTAGTAATTTTACAAAATCTGAAACGATATTTGTTTTCTTTGTGCTGCTTTGACATTGACCGAGAGCATTTACCTTTGAAGCATTCATTTGAATTATCAAGCTCTTTCTACGTAAAGCGAATAATGTTGGGGAGGGTGATTTCTTTTTTTTCCCCAATGTGAGATTTGTAGAGGAGGAAATCTTATTCTTCCTGCACTTACTGCAAATATACAGTTGCATCCTATTCTAAGTGCAGAAACTTCTGTACTTAGTGATTTGTTGCTGTAAGATGGATAGACTATGATATAAATGAGTCAAAACTTCTCTGAATAAGATCAATTTATAGTTTAGTAATAGGTATGAATTTATTGACTATGTTAACTGCATCTTACAGCCCATCTCCTTTGAAGTGCTAAAATATGATTTCCGGCACTTTAGCAGCATTAGTGGTCAGCTCTGAGGCTTTTAGCATGTTTTTCTCAATACCACTGGGACATGGATACCCCGGACCTTTATACACTCTGCACATCAGATTGTTTTATTGTTCTTGTAATGCATGTACATACAGTGTTGAAATATTAAATTGGTCATGAAAGATGTTGACCATTAAGCTGTTTCCAGGACTATTAAAACTCACTTAAGCTTTGATTCAGCTGTGGCTTATTTGGAAGTTGTTTAGACTAGGGTGTTCCATAATAATTGTGTGTGAAGTGGGTAATGCTGATATATATCATGATAAATGGGTTTTCTTCTCTCTTTCGGCAATTTCCATCTTCACTAATTATCATGTAAAGGTTTTATACCAAGTGTCAGTGGTATTGATGGCAGCATTGATGGTTAAGGCTTCAAAGCCACTTGTATGACATAGTAGCTTCCTTACTTTTCACATGTGAACTGACTTATTTATTCTATTTTTAAAAAAAATCCATTTTGCTTTCAGGAGTGGCAGAACTCGATCCAGAAGAATGCTGGTCTTGCGTTTATTGAACTGGTGAATGAAGGAAGGTAATAATGTTTTATTTTTCTGTTTTTCTCCAAGATGATACCCAGAATTGCCAGAAATATTTTTAAAAATGTATTTGCATATTTCAAGATCTTTGATTTCAGTTTTAGAGCTCATCAATTATTTTGCAACCTATAGGAGCTTGGGAAGAATGTCCAATGGATTTGTCAAGTCCGTGTCATTGTTACTAATATCCTGAATATGAATTAATGATTATGTTGACAATATTAGATGTGCACTAAATATACAGAGTAACCAAAAAAATCATGATGCCATTAGAATGTCTAATAAGTTTTAAAGAAATTATTATACTTTTTTTTAGATAATAGAACAGATATCATGACTTTTTGGTCACCCTACATTACCTAAATTGCTTGGATTTTTTTTATTGCAGTTGGATAATTTGTGGATCTTCATTGTGAAATATGCATTCAATAATTGTAATGCTTTGTTCTTTTAAGGTTTGAGATATAAAATATCTTTTCTAATAGTGTAGCAGATTTGATTCTGTGTTCAGAATATAGAAAAATATTTGAAGGAAAATAGATCGTAGATGCTTTGGAAAGAGATTGATTAAACTTAAAAGTTACAGGAGATTTATGATAAAATGACACCTAGAGCAGCAGAACTACTGTTCAGGAAAATCTAGAGAGTTTTGCTGCTGGGCTCCATCCCAGGAGCCAGTGAAGTAAAAAGGGTGTTGAGTTACATTGGAAAGACGTGGCCTGTTGTTATTTCTCATTACATGGTCCTGACCTACTTTGACCTCTGTAACAGAATGGTTGCTCTGAATTTGGCCCTTGATTAATGTTTTATGAGCATAGATAACACAAGGATTCCATGCACATGTAAGTGAGTTGGTAAGGTCCATCTGGATTAGATGTTAATCATTAACAAATCAATTAGTGATGTGGAAGTGTAAGTAATTACCAGCCAACGAATACTTCTCTGGTATCAATTTTTGAGGTGTTCTGTGCTTAGGGGCACCTCAAGGTCTTCCAGAAAGTTAATGTGGTTAAAGTAACTGATTATATTGAATGCCTTCTTCATTTTATTGGACTATTCTTATTGTTGCTTTCTGCAGATAAAAGGTTTTAAAATAAACTTGCAAATATTGGACTTAAGTGGAAAAAAACTGTCAACATGGACATTAATATCCATTTGTTTAAATGGGGATATTATATTTTTGCTGCTTTCCAGAGTTATTTCTGATTTAGTTTTAAAATTTGGATCTGAAAATATGAAATTTAGATTTCAAGTGGCTTGTGTGGGTACCAGACCATGAGGTGATTGAGTATGAGTATCCTGTATTCTCAACTGAACAGCTAGGAAATATCCATTAATTATCCACTTCTGTACTCCCACCTATTTGGGTGGTCAATTCACTCCTTTCCTTCACCTTCAGGTGGTCAATTCACACCTAATTTGATATATATGAGGTGAATGGAATGGTCGTTGTTCTTATCTCCAGTCATCTATATGTTGCTCATCTGTCACACCACAAAAGCTCTGATTATTGTACATCTTTTTGGTCAACGAAAATATTCAGAGTTTGAGTTTTTTGTGTAATATAGTTTATAGAGGATCCTACATAGTTTTGGTCTGATGCAGAACTTTGTTGGAGCTGATGTAACTAATGGAAACATCAAAGCTCTTTTCTTCTCATCTCATAAGTACTCCTGGAATCCCATAACATAATTCAACAACAACAACAAAATTACATTTGTATAGTGCCTTTCACGTCGGGAGGACGTCCCAAGGTACTGGACAATCAGTGTTTCAGACCCGAGCTGGGAGACAGGATTGGGGAGGGTGGAGGGCAGGGGTAAGGAGGGTGATCGAAAGCATGGTCGAAGAGGAGGGTCTTGAGATGGGTCTTCAAGGAGGTGAGGGAGGGGGCGAGGGGAAGGGACTGCGGGGTGGAGTTCCAGAGGTTGGGGGCAGAGTAGCTGAAGGCCCGCCCACTAATGGTAGGTTGGTAGGGGGTTAGGAGGTCACAGAGGTAGGGGAAGCAAGGCCATGGAGGGCTTTGAAGGTGAGGACCAGAATCTTGAACTGTATCCTCTGTGTGATGGGAAGCCAGTGGAGTTGGGCGAGGATGGGGATGATAGGGTCATGGAGCCTGGTGTGGGAGAGGACACGGGCTGCAGAGTTCCGGATGATCTTCAGCCTATAGAGGGAGGAGTTGGGGAGGCCGACAAGCAGGAGTTTGCATAGTCAAGCCTGGATGTGTGTATGAGGCCTGTGGTGTGAGACAGTGGAGGAGCCGAGAGATGTTGCGGAGGTCTTGGAAAGCAGAGTGTGTCATGGCACGGATGTGGGATAGAAAGAATAGTTGAGGGTTAAACGAGATGCCATGGTTCTGGACTGGCTTAGTAAGGTGGAGTGTGCATCCATGGATGGTGATGCTGTCAGCATCTGAATTCAGCACGAGTATCAAATAAACCTACACTAGCTTTCACACCCATCAATTGAATTCTTTGCCGATTTGCAGTCTTATTCCCTCTTGAAACTGTTGACACAATAAGCCTTCACTGCCTTCTTGGTAGTCTATTTCATGTAATGTGGAACAAGAGAAATTATTGAGGTCATCGAATGTGCTCCTTCCATAGACAACCTCAAATTTTATTGTAGTTTGGACTATCCTTCTTGCTCCAACTGGAGGTTGGAGTTCTTCATAGATACTCCCTGATCTTCAAAGGTAATCAATCAAAAACTCACTAAACTAATCCATCCACACATTTCCAATAATTGAACTCTGGCCTTAACAGATAGCACCCCATTCACAAAGGACTGGGCCCATGGAGAATCTGTTCACCTCAGCCTGCAACTGTCTATAACCTCCAATACTACTCCCAAGCAGATGGTCTGTATGAGGTTCTTCATCATATATCTATTTCCAAATATGTATCACCTGTGGTTTGGATGGATTAGGGATAAGCAACAACAAAATTACATATGTAAAATGGCTTTCACGTCGGGAGGACATTCCCAAGGAGCTGAACTGTCAGGGATCAGGACTATTTTGTAGCAAAGCGGGAAGTATTGTAGCAAAGAGTACAACATAAAATGACATGGGGTTGGATTGCTGGTTTGTCTGGATCACTGATGTTTGTATCAAGAGGAGTGTATTATTCCATTATCTAGTCCTTGGATGCTGCTCCAGTATTTATAGAGTTACTAAAATTATTAATTGGAGCTTCACCTATTTTCTCTAATTTCCTTGAGGGTTTTAGGGCATGTCCTATTTTCTTTGCAGATATTTACCTCTTCATTTTCTTCATGGGGCATGCTTTGCTTGGTACTGGTTTGACTCCTGGAACCTGGAATTTGTTTACATTTGTGAAAAATCTATATATAAACCAGTGCTTTTCTGATCTTCCACAATATCTGTTCCCATCTTACCTTTTAAAGAATTTAACTAATCTTTAACACACTGATTGCTGCCAATGTTAAAAGCATTTTGTTGGATTGCTCAACCTGCAATCTGCATTTGTATGATTCAATTACTTTGCTAATGCAGTACTGCTTTTAATTTGTAATGATTTGTAATTCTGCTCCAGAATTCTGCTTTAAATATTTTTTGATTATGTCCGTAAAATTTCTTTTACATTCACCTCCTGGGTTCTATTTTTCCTGGGCTGACACTTGACCTCAGGAAAATTGAATGGGTTGCCGTAGGATCTTATACTGCATTCATGCTACAGCTTTGCTGGTGATCAGACTTTTGCTGTCATAGGGAGGCCATAATGGAAAAATTAGTGACTCGTCTTCAGTCATCCACAGCTAACTTCTTTCCACTGTCAAATCATTATTTTTTGCTGCCGCGTAATGATGCCGCATATCAAGCAAGAACATAAGAATTAAGAGCAGAAGTAGGCCATTCGGCCCCTCAAGCCTGCCCGGCCATTCAGTAAGATCATGGCTGATCTATTCTAACTCCACCTACCCGCCTTATCCCCATATCCCTTAATCCCTTTATCCACAAGATATCTATCAATCTCAGTCTTGAATATGTTCAGGACTGAGCATCTACAGCCCTTTGGAGTAGAGAATTCCCTAAATTCACTGCTCTCTGAGTGAAGAAGTTTTTCCTCAACTCAGTGCGAAAGGGCTTACCCCTAATTTTAAGACTGTGACCCCTGGTTATAGTTTCTCCAACCAGTGGAAAAAGTCTCCCACTATCTATTCTGTCGTGCCCCTTTATAATCTTATAGGTTTCTATAAGATCACCTCTCATTCTTCTATATTCTAGAGAATATAGGCCTAAATTGCTCAACCTATCCTCATAACTCATCCCCCTCATCCCAGGTACCAACATTGTTCTCCCTCCAAGGTGAGTACATCCTTTCTTAAATAAGGAGACCAAAACTGCACACAAAACTCTAGGTGCGGGCTCACCAGATCCCTATACAGTTGCAGCAATACTTCCCTACTCTTATATTCTAACCCTTTTGTAACAAATGCCAACATACCGTTAGCCTTCCTAATTGCTTGCTGTACCTGCAAACTAACTTTTTGTGACTGGTGAACAAGGACACCCAAGTCCCTCTGAACACTAACACACTATCTAATCTCTCCCCTTCTAAAAAATAATCTGCTCTACTGTTTTTGCCGCCTAGGTCGATAACTTCACACTTCCCTACATTATACTTCATCTGCCACCTATTTGCCCACTCACCTAGCCTATCTATATCTCGTTGCATTTTTTTAATGTCATCCTCGGTGTTTACTCTCCCTCCTAGTTTAGTGTCATCCATGAATTTGAATATATTAAGTTCAATGTCCTCATCTAGATCGTTGATGTAGATTGTAAAAGTTGAGGCCCAAGCACTGATCCTTGTGGCACTCCACTAGTCACATCCCGCCAATCTGAGAAGGACCTGTTTATCCCTACTCACTCTTTGTTTTCTTCCCGTTAGCGATTCTTCAATCCATGCTAATATATTCCCCTTAATTCCATGGGCCCTAATCTTGAGGATCAACCTTTTATGTGGCACCTTATCGAATGCCTTTTGGAAATCTAAATACACTACATCCACTGATTTTCCCCCTATCTAATTACTTGATATGACCTCAAAAACATCTAAAATATTTGTTAAGCTTGACTTCCCTTTTGTAAAGCCATGTTGACTCTGTCTAATCATATTGTGATCCTCTAAGTATCCCACTACGACATCCTTAATTAAGGATTCTAGAATTTTCCCTACCACCGATGTCAGACTAACTGGTCTATGGTTCCCCATCTTTTCTCTCCCACCCTTCTTAAATAGTGGTGTGACGTTCCAATCAATGGGAGCCGTTCCAGATCCAAAGAATTTTGGAAGATCAGACACAAGGTCTCCACTATCTCATGAGCTACCTCTTTTAAAACCCTAGGATGCAAACCATCAGGTCCAGAGGACTTGTCACTTTTTAATGCCAACAATTTCCCTAACACCAATTCTTTGCTCATGTAAATTTCTCTAAGTTGCTCCCTATCATTAGCCCTTTGGTTCATCTCTATTTCTGGTAAACTTCTTATGTCTTCTAACGTGAAGACAGAAGCAAAGTATTTATTTAGGGACTCTGCCATATCCTTATCCCCCATTATAATTCCTCCTGTCTCTGCCTGTAATGGACCCACATTTACTTTTGCTAGCCTGTTCCTCTTAATGTATTCATAAAAACTCTTGCAATCTGTCTTAATGTTCCTAGCTAGCTTGCCCTCATAATCCATTTTCTCACTCCTAATGAGCTTTTTGGTTTTCCTTTGTTGGTCCCTGAAACACTCCCAAGTCCTCAGGTTTGCTACTCTTTTTGGCAGTTTTATAGGACTTTTCTTTTAGTTTTATACTTTCTCTAACTGCTCTAGTTAGCTACGGATGAACTGCTTTCCCTGTGATACTCTTATCCCTCAAGAGAATATGTGACCGCTGAAAATTATGCACTACATCTTTAAACGTTTGCCACTGTTGGTCTATTGTCATATCCATTAATCTAATTCCCCAGTCTATTTTAGTTAATTCTTCCCTCATACCTGCAAAGTTAGCTTTATTTAAATTTAAGACCCTTGCTTCGGATTTGACTACATCGCTCTCTAACTTAACACTAAATTGTATCATGTTATGATCACTCTGCCCTAGAGGAGCCTTAATTTCTATATTACCGACCAGCCCTGTTTTGTCATACAAAACAAGGTTTAGGATGGCCTGTCCCCTAGTTGGTTCCTCAGCATAATGTCCCAGAAAGCTATCTCTCATACATTCTATAAACTCCTCTTCTACCCTACTTTTGCCGATTTGGTTTTCCCAATTATGTGAAGATTGAAATCATCCACTATTACTGTATTACCGTTGCTATGTGCTCCTCTAATTTCTTTATTAATACCCTGCGCTATGCTGTGATCACTGTTTGGGGGTCTATAAACTACTCCCACTAATGTTTTCTGCCCCTTGTTATTTCGTAATTCTACCCATACCGTATCTACATCCTGGTTATCTGATTTGAAATCCTTCCTCTACTGTTTTTATTCCATCCTTTATTAACAAGGCTACCCCCACCTCGTTTTCCACAATTTCTATCCTTCCTATAAGCTGAAAACCCTGGAATATTTAACTCCCACCCTAGATCTCCCTGTAACCGTGTCTCATTAATTCTACTAGATCCTACCTGTTTGTATCTATCTGTGCCTTTAATTCATCTACCTTATTCCGAATGCTTTGTGCATTCAGATATAGCGATTATAATTTCTTACCATTTCCCCTACTCTCTAATGCCCTATCTTCTTTACTGAGCTTCTTACCCCTCTTTGACCTATTCTGTTTATTTCTCTTGCTATTCTGTTCTGCCACCTTTAGTTTTCTTAATATTGCTGGCTTGCGATTATTTCTAATTGTATTCCCCCCCACCCCTTTACTAGTTCAAAGCTGTATTTACCTTCCCATGTATTCGGTTTGCTAGGACATTTGTCCCAGCCCGATTTAAGTGGAGCCCATCTTTTTGAAATAGACCCCTTTTCCCCCAATACTGGTGCCAGTGCCGTTCTGCGTTCTGCATCACTCCCTCAGCCATGCATTTAACTCTCCAATTTGCTTATTCCTATACTAATTTGCACATGTCAAAGGCAGCATGATATCACTACCTTTGATGTTCTTTGTTTTAATTTAGTTCCCAGTTCCTTGAACTTCCTCTTCAAATCATCACAACTAATCCTACCTATATCATTGGTACCTATGTGAAGTACCACCAATGGATCTTCGCCCTCATGTTTTAAATTTTCCTCCAGCCCCGCCGAGACGTCTTTCACCCCGGCCCCAGGAAGCCTTCGGGTCTCCTGGTTGCGGCTGCAGATAGGTGTATCTGTCCGCCTGATAGCCTCGTCCCCAATTACTACAACTTTCTGTTTGTTTTCCCTAATATTGAAATCACGTTTTCCTTCCTCCTCACAGGCTTCCTTGTCCACACAGGTTGCAAGGATCTCGTACCTGTTGGCCGAGGTTAAAGCCTGAGGCTTCACTACCACTCTCTCTGGTGTACCCTGTGAGACACCCTATCCTGTCCTTGACTGATACCATTATCTATACATTCCCTGAGCCTCAGGGGAGTGACTGGCTCCACGATGAAACTATCCAGGAAGCACTCACTGTCCCTGATGCTGCGCAATGTCTGCACCTCGGATTCCAGCTCAGACACCTGCCACGTCATTGTCACCTCTCCCACCCCCACTGTGAATTAAAGTTTTATTTAAATCCCTTCACTCCCTGGCACCTCCCTACCTCCTTGCTCCCAATTCTACCAGCTGATCCCTCGCTCGACTGGAACCAGCTTCCTGCTCGTCCCTCGCACCCTCTGCCCCACCATCGGAGATTGTGTTTTCAGCCACTATGCCCCGAAACTCTGGAGCACTCTCCCTCAATCCTCTGCCTTGGCCCCTCTCTTCCCCTTTTCAAGTCCGCCTGAAAACCTTCGTCTTCAACCGTGCTTACGCCACCTCCCCGCCACCACCCCCCACCTCAGAATCAGGCTCCGCCACTGTTGAGTGCTCTGAGACGCTACCCATTACGGTGATGTGAAACAAAAAATCTGTCAGTTTGTATCCCATGATCATTGGAGAATTTCTGATAGATGTCGAAAAATAAAACTTGTGTTTGGGGAGAACCGTATGGGAGGTTATAGTCCAGGTGGCTTGGTAAATGCTCTTTGTGAAATTGACCAGAATAAATCAATTCACTTTCCTCCTTTGAATCTAATGAAAAGTAACCAAAATCCTGATGGCTCATAAAAATGGAGTAGTATTGCTTCTTCTGTGGTTTTGGGTATCAGGAAACAATGTTAAGGTCACATGTAGAATTTGCTTATTAATAAAGAAGATGCAGGGGCCCTCTTTCTTTGAGTTCATCCATCCTTTCTTAACCCTCTGCCACCACTGTTGTAAGGTTGTTTTCTCAGTTAGTATCCTTTTTAATAATTATTTTAGTTCCAAGCGAACAAAGGTGAGAGAAATGGCTGAATTAATAAACATAATAATAATATAATAATAATCCTTACATTTGATATAGCGCTTTTCAAGTCTTCTAGATGTCTTAAAGCTCTTCACAAAATATGCTGTAAAGTGAATTTACTGTATATTTGTGGGCGAAATGCAGCAGCCAATTGCGCACAGCAGCGTCCCACAAACAGTCGTGGATTGAAAATGACCAATTTATTATTGTTTTGTTTTTTGGAGGGATTATTTTTGGAGGGATGTTTAGAAAAATAAACTTTATGATTAAGTTGTACTTAATGTTAAGAAAGTTGCTATATAAATGTGAATTTGTATTGTAATTTGTATTGTAAATGATGACTACTATGGGGTTTGAGTCCAGATTATTGGGTCACTGCTGTTGTTGCTTCTTGCACACAGCGTGCATATTATATTATGCACATTATGTTTTAATTTTCTCATTGTTACATGTGTTCTATGTATAATATATTCATCTTCAAAAGTTATGAAAACATTGTGCAGAATGCCTAATGTCTGAAGTATTAGTATTTGATGAAGTATAAATTATTAGGTATTTGAACATGCACCTGCAGAAAGAAATCTTAACATGAATGGTGTTGGGGGCGCGGGGAAATAAGTTGATTTGCCTTAATTAGAGAATATAATGGTCACATTTATATAAAAGCATCCATAATGTTTCACTTGTATGTTTTACATTGTCAGTGTTCAATACGTTCTACTGGCATATTTTCGATTCGAGACTTTCTGAGATCCATGTTTCTCTTTTGGTTAGGCTGCTGTGCCATACCATGAAAGACCATCTGGTCAGGGTAGCAAATGAGGCCGAGTTTATCCTGAGCAGACAGAGGGCAGAGGATATCCACAGACATGCTGAGTTTGAGGTAAGATAAAGCTAACTGAATATGTGTTGACATTTCCCCAGTTATAATTTTTGCATTTGAAGGTAGCGCCTTTCTACTTAAATGCCTCAAAGTGCTTCAAAGGTAATTACTGTCAAGTGCAAGGACTGTGTAATTGTAGGCAAACACTTAGCCACAGTTTGCCCACAGCAGGCCTCATATGCAGCCATGAAATGAATGATCAATTCTTCTGGACAATTGTTAATGATGTGTTGAACAGAAACAAGAGGAGGCCATTTAGCCCATTGACCATATTCTGTCAGTTTATTAGATCATGGCAGATTTTTTAATCACACTTTACTGCCTTTTCCCCATACCCCTTTATACTGTTGTTTTCCAGAGTAACCGAAGAGGCTGATTATCATTAATAATAATCGTAATCATAATAATCTTTGCATTTGATTTTGCGTTTATTATGTCATCGAGGCGTCTCAAAGAGCTATACAGGATATACTGTAAAAAGGATTGACTGTGTAGTTTTCGGGCAAACACAGCGGCCAGTACAGCAACGTACCACAAATGGCCATGGAGTATGTGACCAATTTGATTTGGGTGATTGTTGGCCATGACACCGGGAGAAACTCCCTTCTCTTTGAAAAGTCCCATGGGATATTTAATGTCCACCTGAAAGGTAGACGTCAGTTTAACATCTCATCTGAAGGACTGTATTTCAGACAATGCAACACACCACCAACACTGCATTGAAGTGCCATTTTAGACTGCGTGCGTTCAAGTCCCGACTTGGGATTTGAACCCACAACCTTCTGACTCAGAGGCGAGAGCTACAACTAAGCCAAGCTGATTACACATGAATATTCATTCTTAAACTATTTGTGTAATCTCTCATCTCTCGATCTCCAGGACATTAGATGGGCTAAACTGTTCTGAAAATATGAAACGAAAGGTGGAAGACATTATCTTGGGATAATAAAACTAAGTTTCTGTACAGAATATTGCACAGCACCCAAGACAATCCTAATTGTATTTCTGTATTGCATGTTCCTTGCTCATTTTGAAGCATGAGGTCAGCAAATCTTCCATGTAGATAGTTTTGTAAATGTAGATTCTGCTTCTTTTTGTGACCCAGATCTGTGGAATCAGACTTGTCAGTTAGGAGGTTCTATGATGCTGAACAGCTGAGACATTTGTGGCCCTTAAATATACTACATTTAATTTCAGTTAAAATGCAGTGAAGATCTGTCTCTCAAAGTCCATTTTCATTGTAAAAAATCTTTCAAAAATTACTTTATTTTTCATTACATTTTCTTATTTAACCGCCTTCCTCATTTTCTGACTCCAACCCTATGATCTCCATCAGGTCACCATTACTGATGCTAGTTGTGGCATATTTTCATTTTTAGTTTTGTTGCGTATTTTACATTTTATGTAAATGAAAAACGTTTCCGTTGCAAAGCCTAAATTTGCTAATGTATACACTGAGGAAAATTTTGAAGTAGATTTATTTTAATATCACGTTATCTGATGCCAAATAAAAAGATGAGCAGTAATCAGAACAGCATCTTAAGAAGGATTAATTTTTTTTGTGTTTGCATGTGCTCTGTGTCTCTTCTGCTCTGCTTTTTAGTTAGGTGGTATATTTACAATTTATGAATACGAAATGTGCTTTAGTCTTTGCAGAACCATGACTGAACAGTGAATTAAGACTGAATATCATTCAACTCCTATGGAGCTCACGCTTGTTTTTAGCTATTGCTAGCAGACGTTGTAAACCTCTGTCTACAGACACCGTTCCCACTCCTTAGAGACAGCCTTCATCGCCCCCATCCTTAAACAAACCTTCTCTTGACCCATCTTTCTTGTCAAACTACTGACCCATCTCCAAACTTCCCTTTCTTTCCAAGATTCTGGAATGAGTTGTTGCCTTCCAACTTGACTTTTTCTCTCCCGCCAATCCTGTTTGAACCTCTCCAATCTGGTTTCTGCCCAGCCCATAGTACAGAGACAGCCATAGTGAAAGTTATACATGACATTCTGTCTATTTGTGACCAGGGCTCTCTTTGTTTCCTTCTTGATTTGTTCACTGCCTTTGACATTGTTGACCACTTTATTCTTCTCCACTGCCTCTCCTCTCAGCTCCACCTTCATGGCTCTGTCCTTGCCTGGTTCCATTCTTACTTTGTCTCTGCTTTGTTCCCACCAATGGCTTCTCCTCCAGCCCTCATATTATCACATGTAGTGTTCCCAGGGCTCTGTCCTTGGTCCTCTCGTTTTGAATATTTACATGCGCCCTCTCAGGGATGTCACCCACAGGGATAACTTCCACATGTATGCAGATGATACTCAACTCTTATCTGTCTGTCTCCACCCTCGACTCTGGGACCACTGCTGTCCGGAAAGAATGTCATACATCAAGTCCTGGATGAGAGCCAATTTCCTACAGTTGAATGCTGAAAAGACTGAGGTTTTCCTGCTTGGCTCCCCACCTCAGGTGCCTCCTCAGCTCAAGTGTTGACAACATCACTGTTCATGGATGCATTCTCCACTTCACCGAGCCAGTATGGAATCTTGGTGTCTTGTTTGGCCCTCAACTGTCCTTTAAACCCCACATCTGTGCCATTACCATTATATTTCACCCACCAAATATAGTCAGTTCACTTTACAGTGTATTCTGTGAGGCTTTGAGGCGTCTCGAAGATGTGATATGGCTCTATATCAAATTCAAGGATTATTATTATTACCAATTTTGCCTTCCCCCACCTTCACAACATTGCCCTCATCCGACACTATCGCTCAACTCAGGCTGCCAACAACAAAATTACATTTGTAAAGTGCCTTTCACGTCGGGAGGATGTTCCAAGGCGCTGAACAGTTGGGGATCAGGACCCAAGCACGGTTGGGATGAGGGAGGACAGAGAGGTAGAAGGCAGGGTCGAAAAGAAGGGTCTTGAGTCATCCCTTGAAGGAGGCAAGGGAGGGAGCAAGGCGAAGGGATTGTGGGATGAAGTTCCAAAGAGCAGGGGTAGAGACGCTGAAAGCCCGGCCGCCGATGGTAGGGCGGGTCGGGTGCGAGACTCAGGCTGGAGCCTGCTAACTGTAGAGAACGGACAGGTTGATAGGGGTTTAGCAGGTCAGAAGAGTAGGAGGGGGCAAGGTCGTGGAGGGCCTTGAAGGTAAAGACGAGAATTTTGAACTCAATCCTCTCAGGGATGGAGAGCCAGTGGAGCCAGGCGAGGGTGGGTGTGATGTGGTCGCAGAGCCTGGTACGAGCTACAGAGTGATGATCTGCAACTTGTGATGAGTTGGGGAGGCCAACAAGGAGGGAGTTTCCGTCGTCGAGCCTTGAGGTGACAAATGTGCGTATGAGGGTTTCGGTGGCCTAAGGGGTGAGGAAGTGGCAGAGCCAAGACCCTCATCCATGCTTTCATTATGTCCAGGCTTGACTACACTAACTCCCTGCTTGCTGGACTTCTCAACTCTTCCCTCCACAAGCTTTCTGGGCTGATTACCCCCATTCTTGGCCGGTTTCACTGGCTCCCCATCCTTCAGAGGATTGAGTTCAAGATTCTTGTCCTCAGCTTTAAAGCCTGCCACCGTCTTGTTCCTCCCTATTTCTGCGGCCTATTAAAACTTCACCACCTGTCCATGGGCTCCATTCTGCAGGTCTGCTGCATTTGCCTACACAACACTTTACAATAAATCTTGTGAAGTGATCTGAGACTCATCCTGACATCTTCTCTACATGCTCCCTCTTGGCGATATCATCCGCAGACATGGGGTCAACTTCCACATGTATGTGGATGACGCACAAATCTACTTCCTTCTCCCACTACAATTCCAGGTCCACTGATGTTCTGTCAACTTGTCTAGCAACATCAGATCCTGGATGATCGCAAACTTCTTGCAACTCAATGTTGACAAGACAGAAGCCATACTCCTTGGCTCCTGTCAACGTCTTCTGTCTTGCGACTTTGACCTCCTCAATCGTACCTTACCCCAGAAGCAGCCAAAACATTCGGCCATGCGTTCATCACCTCCCGCCTCGACTATTCAAATAGCCTCCTCGCCGATCTCCCCATCCACAAAATCCAGCTGATCCAAACTTCTGCTGCCTGCATACTCTCCCATACTAAACTCCACTCCCCCTTAACACCAGTTCTAGCCAGGTTCACTGCCTCCCTGTCGCCAAACAGATCAATTTCAAGATTCTCGCACTTGTTTTCAAATCTCTTCATGCCCTGGCACCTCCCTATCTCTCTGACCTGCTGCTTCCGTTCGACTGCCTCTGTCCTCCTGCATGTCTCTCATGTCCCTGTTCCACAGTCGGTGGCTGCGCTTTCAGCCACTACGCCCTGAAACTCTGGAGCACTCTTTTTCTATCCCTCTGCCTTGCCGCTTCCTTCCCCATCTTCAGATCACGCCTGAACATCTTCCTCTTCAGCTGTGCCTACGGTCACCTCCCCCCAGCTCGGTGTTGTGCTCCGCCATTGTCAAGTGCTCTGGGCGCTATATAAATGCAAGTTGTTGTTGTTGAAAGGTGCTATATTAAATGCAAAGATTATAAGAAAACACAAAATGAGAGAAAAGCGGATTGCCTTACCAAGCTGCTTACTGCATGGACCATTCTTATTCCAATCCATTATAGTCTTGAAAGTATCACCTTGCCCCTCCCTTTTAAAGGGAGATTAAGAGCAAGCTCTAACTGATCGATTCTCCAGTTCTACATTGCTCGTCTTTTCTCACTGGGGCATTTCACTGGACCCAGAAGCTTAGTTAGGATATATAATTTTCTATTGAATGTTGGCTTCATCAGGTTTTATATTCATGATGATTTTTTGTTTACTTAACCAAATATTCAATCAGATTTTTTTTAAAGGTTGTGACCCTGACAACATTAAATGCTTCGGTCTCTTTCACAGGTGGCAGCCTGGCTCTGTTGGTACTCTCTCACTTCTGAGTCAGATGCGCCACGTCAGGAATTTAGCACATCGTCTAGGTTGATCCATTGTTGGAGGTGCTTTACT